AAGGTGTTAGAGCTTCAGAGGCTACTGCACTCTAAAGAATAGAATAGTTTCCAAGAGTATCTCCATTGAAGCTCTACAGCCTTATAGGGAGATTCAGCTTTTTATTCTCTACCTGTGTGTTAACAGATCCCCGGTGAGATCCAGAAAGCTGGGGTTTGGATTTATCTTGCCTGGAAATGTACAATAATAACAACATAACTTCAACCATTGAGCTCCAAGTGCTAATTCAGCTGAGACCAAGTTTCACTGTGGGGACTACGTGTATCCATTATAGTCCTAGAAGTAGGGGAGCCGTGAGTGAGACATAGCCAGAACAGATCTGGCATACTGTAAAATAGGTTCCCTGCCTGAAGTCCTGTGGATAAGCAGTGCGTGACTTCAACCTGAATATAAACAAGGGAACTATTGTCATATTTGATTCCACAGTTGTGTGTACTTTATTGGTTACTTCCCAGTCTATGACATCTGATTTGGGAAAGCGCTTAAAGATCCCAGAATGAAAAGGCTATGTAAATACAAGCATTGGTTATTTCTAATGAGCTGACAGAGACCAATGGGCTGAACTTTCTTATTGAAAGGCTCCTTACATAAAATAGTTTAGCTAGAGCTCTTCTTTCACACCTTCTGGGGACGTGTCCAAAGGAATAACCCAAAGATCTCACTTCTACTAAGTTCACAGTCTATATTATTCTCTTTTAATAAAGGATTAATTTTCTAAACATCTATGAATTTCAAACAAGAAATTTCATACTGTAAATTAAAAAAGTGTTTAGCTGTAGGGTAATCTCTTTCCCCTTGTCTAATCAAGCTCAATATGCTAAATGAATTTATTTTAAGATTGTAATTGTTTTACCAATATAAGCTAAGCCAGATAGGTGTGTCATTATATAAATAACAGTATTACTAAAACAGTTAATAGCAAGCCCAGAACGTAGCGAATTACATCTTTTTTGGCTACTCAGAACAGTAAAAGGTTTGGTAAGAGACACAGGAAACTTATCTGGTGTTTCTCTAATGTGCTCAGTAAACAAAAACCCATGGTACAGAAGTGTCACTCCATAGAAAGATCATAGTTTAAGGCATCAGTTCCAAATAAATAAATAAATAAATAAAGCAAACTTTGCTCCAGTGCAGAAATTTTTCAAGAAGTGCTTCTGTATATTACCACATAATCTTAAAGTGTCCCTGTAAAAATGTTACAGATAGAACACAGTTCAACAGTCAAACTTTTAGGATCTAGATATGCATATGTAAACTTAAAACTTCACTAATCTATGCACCAGAAAGATCAATCACTCATAAAAAATATTCCCCTACCCCATGAACATAATACCAACCTATGAAAAAACATTTGACACACCAACATGCTCCTTGAACCCACAGTTTGATTTCATACAAAACAAAAATCTACATAGAACTAGTACAGCTGTTTTGAATATCTGGAATAGCACAAAGTAACCACAGTAAACCTGGGATTTGGGGCCCTATATATTCACATTTCTAATATTATTCTTGTTTACTCTTTTTTTTATGGGAAGCAAAGATGACCATGAAATAGAGGTGTGAAAATTTAGATAACAGCTAATTAGTTTTAGTAGGACTGTTACATGAGCATAATGGATTTTCAGCTTTCTCTCTTCTTTATCCTCTGACTTAAGGCAATTATATAACAGCAGTTCTGGAACAAGTTATTGTTCATAATTTCACAAAATAGACTACCCACTTAAGCCTGCACCAATTAATTGAATTTATATGAAATTGTTTATTCGGTTTTAATCATATTGAGCCATATTTTGTTCAGTATTGAGCAAACTTACTTATATTGGGTCCTCTTGATTTTAGTACATATGTTGCTGTATATTTCTATAGCATTTGCAAACAGGAAAATATATTTCTTGTCTTAAATCAGTGACAATCACATGGTAACTTTTATTTTACTCACAAAGCCAAAGGAGATGGACAGGGAGAAGAAATTCAGTAGTCATAACATCAGGTTAAGCTGTCAGGATTTGAAACACTCCATTTTATATAGATCCCAACCTAAGTAGCTATGGCTCCAGCTCACAGGTTAGAATAGCAGCTTGTCTGGTATATTTGGACCTGTGAATCTACATTTCTATTTCTTTCCTCCTCTTATCCCTCCCTTCCAAGCTGTGTGAAGCTGTTGTAGAGATGATCTCTGTAGTACAGTTTGCCAGTATGACTATATATTAGATGGAATACTTTGCTCTAATATGATGGAAACAAGTGATTGATGGTTTGTCTTATTGGCTGCTGTTTATTTAGGATGTAAGTGATCCTGCCAGAACAGGTCAGTATGGCTCATAGCAGACTGTAAAAACATGTTGGCAAAGAAGTCATTTTGAAATGCATTCAATGAAATGGTCAGTCTGAGTTGTGGCCACACACTGAAGAGTTATGGCCTCACACCGAAGGAGTTGGTTTGAATCAATGACTGTAGAATATGTGACAGAAATGAACTTATTTTATTAAAATCAAATTTTAAAGAGAGGTCCTTTAAACTACTGCTAACCCTGCTCCTATCTACTAGAACTCAGCAAACTCACTGGAAAAGAATTCTCCCACAAGAAACTAGTGTAATGTTTTCACTTACTAAATATTCACCAATACTTAAAAAAACAAATAAACTAGAAAGGTATTAGGCCTGCAGAATTTAGCAGAAAGGCTTTTTCTCAATTCCAACAAAGGGTACTACAATATACTCTAGCATAGTGGGGCTTAGTGTTTTTGCCCAGTGGACCAGAATGGCAGTGCCCAGTCTGTCCTGGGCCAAATACAGCCAGTGCTCCTGATCCAGTGCCTGGGCAGGCACAGGGGGCAATTTCTGGCCATGTGGGGGAGAGGTAGGGGAGGTCTGTCCCCAACACCACCCTGCAGGGGAAAGGAGCTTGACCCAGCCCTATGGAAGGGGAAGGAGGTGTGGTCTTCAATGGGTGGGGAGGGGACATGGCCCAACCCTGCGGGAGAGGGTGGCATGGCCCCACCCTGCAAGGGAAGAGGATATGGCTTGGCCTTGTGGGGGAAGAGGGAATGGCCAGGCCCCAACCCAATCCTGCAGGGATGGAAGGGGTCATGGCCCAGCTCTGATCCAGAAGTGGGGAGAAGCATGACCTAACCCTGCAGGGAGAAGGAGGTATAGCTTGGACGTAGCTGGCCATGCAAGGAATGAAATTTCAGGATTTTGCAGAGGTGAGGATGGCCATATTAATGGTCACCATCCCCCCTGCTGCCAAATTTTCAGACCTATGTGGAGCCCCACAGGCCAGATGCAATGGCTCCACAGGTCACATTTCACTCTCAGGTCCAAGGTTGACCACCCATACTGCAGCACTATGCTTTGCTTGCTAAAAATTGTGGTTGATCCCCCTTCTTAGTTTCAAGTTAAATTATATTACATTTGCCAAAATTTGTCTGAACAATTCTCCATTAACAACTAGATAGGTAGGATAGCTGGTTGTTTGGAACATTGCAAAAACATTATACAGGCACTTCTGGATTGGCTCTCATGTGTAATCATCATTCATGATGTTTATAATGTAAAAGCTCTCAATAGTCTGAGACTCAGTTATTAAAACTGCTCTTCACTTATAGAATAGTCGGAAGCTGTAATCAGTTGCAGCATTCTTGCTGTCACTATCTAGGTTGGAACTCATGTACTATGGTTTCTGTGCTTTCAAGATAGCCTGCTTGGAGGCCATGGCACAGTGCTGTGCATAAAATCAAGTGGAGTATTTATTTCCTTTAGTATTGGTGATGGAAGCCAGAGGATCTTCTATCCTTAACTTCTATCCTTAACCTTTGTTATTTGAAATGGTATCTCAGATATGAGCCAAACCATTGTGAAGAGATTTTAATTTAATCGATTTGCTGACCCAGACTGCTTTTCAGGCTTTGCCTCCTTGCAGCACAATGTGGCGATTCTGAAGGGGGCATGTTCTGTTCCCTTCTTGGCTGGAGCAGCAGAGTCCATGAAGTGACACACCATCTACCCAGGAGACAGAGGTGTGAGCAAACCACCCTGAGATTCTGAAGGACTGTGCTGTGGCTTTTCTGCAAAGGGAACACATATAGACATTCATTCTCTCAAGATAAACTCTTCTGACAGTGATTTAACCCTGTTGTTCCCAGGTTATTTTTCTACTTGAATGGCCGTGTTTACTCTGGCAGAAAATTCCTGAACATCTGTACACTTGTGATTTTTCCTGGGAGAGCAGCAACTCTCCCAGGAGAAACTAAATGACTGCCTGTATATGATCTTAGTATGAGGGATTTAAAGCTTCTAGCCCCTCTGGCTACCCAGGTGGGTATCAATATGATGCTACATTAAGGAATTCCAGGGTGGGGGGAGGGGTGGGGGCACACCGTCCGAGCCCGGGTTCCACTGGTGGAGCCCACCCCAGCAGCAAGCAGTTACTAGGGGCAGGAAGCAATGTCTCAGTCCCTGCCAGGGGACCGCTGTCTCCTGGCCCCTGGGCTAGCACCCAAAGGGGAGCCTAGTGCTCCCCCTGGCTGCTGCAGGGACCCATTGTAGGGCTGCAGGGAGTAGGAGCAGACTGATGCTAGGAGCAGCAAATCTTCTCCCGTGTCCCTGCATATGTAGACACGTGCCCGGGAGAGTTTACTTTGAATAGTTACTCAAGAATAAACTGTTCCCAGATTATTGGCACGTCAATGTGCTCATTACAAATATGTTATAAATTTCCATATTTTAACTAAATTAAAATCACATTTTATTTAACCCAGTTTCACTAATGTAAGCATGGTTAAATTCCACTTGGATTTTCTGAATTTCATCTCAATTTCATTAAAAGTAAGCATTTCAGGAATAACTCTGAGGCAGTCTGACATCTTCACTTAATTCTAATCTTACAAACAGAAATGCAAGCTAAATATAATTTAACAAGGAATGGCTTTAAATAGTTCAATTTGTACAAGTTAATATCCATTTTGTATACTTAATGTTGTTTTTGTATTTACAGAGTGAGGACACAGGGTACGATTGTGTACCAGAGGTCTATTGGGGAAGAAATGGGCTTGAGATATCATATCTCTGAAATATGGAGCAGCAACTTCACAGCACATCATTTTGAAATGTTTATCACAGAAAAAAAATCTCCCCTTTTTACTATTAATAGTGTAGCAGGAGGATTGTTTAGGACACTGAGAAAATCAGAAGGGCAGCTTTTTTATGGGTTTTAAATATTTATACACTCAGATTGGGATGTGTTGACTGAAGTGAAAACACTGAAATTAAAAGGAAATATGGTATCGAATAAGAGACCATGCTGAGTTTCATGATAAAGAAATCATCCTTGCCTTGTTTTACCCAGCTCAAGCTGCCTCTGTAGGTTCATTTTAAACCATCAATTAACATGTTTAGCAGAGTGAAAGATAGAAAATGTTTCCACTCGACAGCATGCAATCTGCCCTGGGGATATTTGTATAAAGGTGGCCACTATTCAGACTCTTAGCCCCACTTTGGGAAGATACAACTTGATAGGGTGTTGATGGTGACAAACTCAGTTATGTTGAAGACACATGAAAATTGCACTGGTCTTATAGTGTATTACTATGTAACACTGTCTCCATGTTATCTGGACCAGAAATATTTCATTTCACTAGATCGCAATCTTGTAAGACAGCCTTGTCATTTTAATTTGTCACTCTTTTCGTACTACATCTCACTGAAGTCTCATCTCCCCAACCAAGTGCCATGGGCTACTACTGTGGAAAGAAACCTGTCACAGAATAGAAAAGGTAAAAACCACCAAACAGAAAGTTTATGGCTTAAATCACCACTCAGAGCTCCATTCCCATAGGATTAACAGGTAGTACAATTCACCCAAAGCTGAGTTAGAAAGATCTGTAATTTCAGCTATTATATATAAACACACATCTCTCCTGCTGTTTCTTGTTACTACGTCTACAACTGCTATCACTCCTGTATAGCAATGTCACTCACAGAAGAAAGCAGAAGGGAGAAATGGAAAAAAATGAAAGCATTAGTAGTTAAGAAGAGAAGTTATGACTGACATGACGTCAGATTCAAAAGTAGCCCTGGGAACTCTGCAGCAGAGTTGATGGTAAGAGAAAAATATGGAAAAACTACAAAGATACAGAAGATAAAACATAACTGACTTGAAGATTCTTGAATGGTGAAGTCAGTAATTTCATCAGTATCTCTTTAGCTAAGAAGCCAACACACATAAAAAGAAAACAGTGTTATAGGCCTATCTGGTATATTTCGATTCCTCATAAAATATGACATGTTTTCCTTTCAAAGTGTCAAAGAGCCAACACTAGGACAGATAGGGAAGTTTTTTCTCTTAAGAATAAACACAATTATATTCTTGTTTCCTCTGATTTTTTTTTAATCTACAGAAATAATTAATCAAAATAAATGAGCTAGTAACCCCACAATACTAGCAGCACTTTTGTGTCATTTTCCGTACAGTGCAGCATGTGTGACAGGATTTCACCAAAATGACTTATGTTTCTGAACATTGTATTAAAGCATATTATTTGTAAATGAAAATATGGAATTGACTATTGAAGTCATACCATTTCTTTGGTTCTGAGAGCTTCTCTGGAATCTCTGTATATATTTACACTATAGTGAAAACAATCAAGGGCCTGATTCTCAGTTGTTATAAGTCTCCTTTACATTCCTCTGGTAGCATCAAGGGACCTTAAGATAATTGAAAATCAGTTCCTTAGTAAACAAACAGAAGTTTACTAATGAGAGAGAAAAAAATCTCAAAACTAAGCACTGGAAAGTCCTGTCTTGTAAAGATGGAGAGGTTTCTGTGAACCACTTCATAGAGCATATATCTTACGCCATGGACACAAACACTGAAATATTCCTATAGATAAGACAACGTTGCTTATCAGGGAAAGTAGATAATGCAGTTCCGGAATGACAAAAGTTAGAGAAAAGAAACATAACTAGCAAAATATATAAAGAAGCTGAAAAATATTATGTAAATAATGAAGTTTTATACTAGTTATGTACCACATTATTGCTAGGTTTCTGCAGAGTCAAATGCTGTATCAGTGGTTAGAATCTAGAGATGGAGTTGCTCTCCTGCTCTGCAGGGAATATATGTACCTGGGAGAGACATTATCCTCAGAGCAAAGACAAGAAGTGGAATGAACAAAGTGATTGAGCACTGTTAGAGGTTTTGTTTTGTTTTTAAAGGGGATAGGTGAGTAATTTATAAATTATACATTAAGTAAAATGTAAATGTTATTTTTTATTGTAAAGGAAAATTAATAATATATATGGATAATATTATAATAAGTTTTTGAGTTGTGTGTTGGGTTGGAGGAAAGGTATTTTATATTTTATTTTATGTTATTACTTAATAGGTTTGGGGAATTTGTTTTTGTGTTTAGGGTGGTGAGATAATTTTTTTTTATTGGGTTTTTAGTTTTGCTTTTTTTAAGTAGTTTTATTTGGGATTTGGATTTTTTATTTTATATATATTTTTTACTGTTTTTTTTTTAGAAGGGGGGTTATTTTTACTTCTATTTTGGGGGGATTCAAGTTAAGTTGTTATTTTATTTTGTAAGTTGTTATTTTTAAATAAAAATTGTTACTTTTGTACTTTGCTAGGTTTGGGATTTTTTAGCGCCATTGGTCAGCTTAAGGCAATTCCTTTTTCTTCTTTACTTATCAGCAAACTACAGCAGATGCGTTAGGTCATTACCTCGTGGCCTCCGGGTTCCGCGAAACTGACCCCCCCCTTCAGGGTGTCAGATTGGCCTCCTCCCAAAAGCCTCCTCAGGTCGGGCCTCACAATCTTTTTTTTGACTTGTTGTATTTGTATATATTTATGTTGATTAAAATTATGTAGAGTAATATAGTTATTAATATAATTTGTTAGATTTTTGATTTGTTAGTATAGTTTTTTACTATAATAGGTTAGTGTATATATATTAAAAAGTATAAGAGGCTTGTTGGCTTCCAAGGAACTACTTTTTACTCATGCCCAGCAGGCCCCCTATTTGGCTTCTGGTGTACTTTGGATTTTATAACTGCACTTACTTTTGACTTCTCTGGCAGAGTTGTCTCCATTTCTGTTCCTGAAGAGGAGGGGTTATGCTGGTCGTTCTGATCCCTGACCAGATCGATCACCGCCACTTCTTGCCCCTCCTCTGATTTTAGAGCCTTTAAGGGCAACAAAGTTCCCACCATTTTCCACAACAAAGATATGGTGCCTTCTAGTAATGCCGTCTTCTTTGGTTTTCTGCCTGCCTGCCTGCCATTGGGCGAAAACTCCCTCCACCACGGCAAGGGACCTGAGGTCCTTTACTCTGGAGCGGGACCATGGATGTATTCTCTTACTAAGTTCTGAGAGTCTTGTGGTTTTTCCCCAGTGTGTGAACATGTCTACCACTCCTCTGACACAGCTGGCCAGGCCGTTCTGAGGAGGGGTCTCTCATGCCTGCATTCTCCACCACTTGTTAGGGGCTCCCTCCCTTTCTAAAAGGGGATAGGTGAGTAACTTACAAGTCACACACCAAGTAAAATTTAAATGTTACTTTTTATTGCAAAGGAAAATTAATAATAAACATGGATAATACTATAACAATCTTCTGAGCTGCAAGCACGTTGGGCTGGAGGAAAGGCACTTTACACCCTATCCCATGTTATTACTTGATAGGTCTCGGGAACCCCATCCTGCATTCAGGGTGGCGAGACTATCTCCTTTATTGGGCCCTCAGCCTTGTCTTCCCAGAAGCAGTTTTACCCAGGATCCGGCTCTTTTACTTTATATACCTTTTCTCTTACTGGTTATCTCCCCCAGAAGGGGGGGGTGGTACTTTTTGCCTTACTGCCTTTTCTAGGATTAAAGCCAAGCCGTTATCTTATTTTGCAAGCTGTTATTTTAAAATAAAAATTGCTATTTTTTCACTCCGCTAGGCCCGGGACTTTCCAGGACTGTTGGTCGGCTTAAGGCAGTTCCTTTTTCTTCTTTACTTATCAGCAAACTACAGCAGATGCATTAGGTCATTACCTCATGGCCTCCGGGTTTCGCGAAACCGACCCCCCGTTCAGGGTTTCAAATTGGCCTCCTCCCAGAAGCCTCCTCAGATCGGGCCTCACAAACACTCAGTACCTAGGGCCAAGTCTTGGCCCTTTATTCAGACAGAGTAAATAGAATTGGGGCAGCATTTTCCTCAGGCTTGCTTTCACTGAAAGTTCATTCTCCTCAAACTTGGATTTCCACGGTGAATTGATGGCAGTCTTTCCCAATCTCAACCAAAGATTTATTTGCCCAAAAGAGAAACAATATCCAAATCCTTATTATATCTTTACTGGAGCTAATAAGGGCCACTCACTAATATGACTCAAAAGTAATTAAATTACACTTTTGCACAAAGCCCAACATAAGAATGACTCAACAGCGTGTTCTTATGCATGTACTTAGGATCACTGCCCTTTTACAGGAAATTGCACAGAACATCTGAGTGATTATGCAATTTTTTAATATCAACTTAGGGAACTAATTTTGCAAATATTAAGTGAGAGGTAATTATAACCAGAAACAGCAGCATGACAATACATATAAAGTCAACAATGGGGGAGAGAGAAGTTCGGGGAAAAAAGGAGTCAGGAAAGTCAGTACTGTGATCCTTCTAAAATGGTGATTCTGTACCAGATAGTTTAAATCACTTTGCCAAGCTGAAGAAGGAGGCTTTATATTACTGCTAAAGCAATTGTAGCTGCTGTTGCTTTCTCACTAACACTATATTTTTGGAATTGAGAACTATTTTGTCTAAATGCGGTACGCATGTCTAAAATATTAAATGCTTAACTGTTTGTTTGTACACCTATGAAACATTCTGTAGCAGGATTAAAGCATATCCCTAAAGAGCCATTAACTTGTATTATACCAAAGTATTTATTATTGTGGCATATGTAATGGATAATATTTGTTTACATTTTTAATTACTCACATTTTCAGCCAAGAAAATCTCTGAGGATAATGTCTCATTTACAAGTGTCCTGGCAAAAGACAACATAATGTAATCACACATTACCAACAATTCCATGACAACCATGCAATGGTTTAAATATGGATTTCAAATAAAGATATAATTATAGTAAGCTATTAAAAAAACCCTCAAAATTAAACACATGATACTGCAACATTGCTAAACAAAAATGGAGGAAAAATTCCTCCAGCTCCAACTAAGATTCTGAGCTTTTTCCAAAGTCCAGTGAAATCAAATGAAAGATTCCCATTGACATCAGCAGGATCTGAATTAGACCTGCCAGGAATAAAGATTTTGAAACTTAATACTAGACAGTTTGCACCCTCAGAATTTCCTACCTTTCCAAGTCCTATGATTAAGAGACTATTTTTTTTTTATAAAGTGAATTAATAAATAAAATGAGCAAAAACTTAATCACTTGATAAGAGTTTTAATTTAAAATTAAGCAAAGTTCTCATCTTAAAAAAATTCTGGAGCCAAAAAAGCTGCAATAGACTACCTCTTTAATCAGAACCTACAAATGAATAAACCATATTAACCTCCAAATTTGGCTCAACTATGATGGGTTTTTTTGGCAAGTTTAACATAAATCTCTTTATGGGCTGCCTATAGACATGCTCTGAGATGGTGGAGCAGGGTTGGGGGGGAGGGGGAAGATATTTTAATTAAAGCAGATCCCAGGTAGCCACTCTAATTAAAACTCCAATTTCATGTGTATTAAGCCCCTCCACATTTTAAAATGGCCTCAGGACACTTTATCTAAACCTCATTCAAACACATTTGGATAAAGTGCCCCATGGCCATTTTATAAAGTGCAGGGGCTTAATGCATGTGAAAATGTGGTGATGCTGAAGTGTTTTAATTAGAATGTGGAACATACTGCATTAATCAAATCTGTTCCAATCCATTCGAATTAGAATGCTGACAAGCACGTGTGTAAGCAGCCATGCTAACTAAAGAGTGCATTTTACAGTTACAATTAGTCCACTAATGCCACACCTATTTACTGTGCCATAATTCCAGTGTACCTACTTCCAAAGAGCCCAAAACGGTCTGAAAGATACTGGAAACAGATTTTTGGTCATGGTAATAATCTGTAAAATAAGAAGTAACAGTAATATTTATAGAGCGCTATGATGCCCACAGTCGTATGGAAAAAGTCTTTCATTTAGAAAAAATGTTCTTTATTTTTAATGCTAAGCTTAACTCTCTGCCCAAGGAAGTAACAGTGAAGTAAAACTAGAACTAGTGAGATCAGATTTGGGCATAAGAGTGCCTTAGGAAGAGGTATTGAAAACTGTAACCTACAAAATAGATTTAATGAACAATTTGCAGTTCTCCTCTGTTTAATTTACAATTCCATGTTTTCTATGTATCCTTTACAGCAGTGGCTCTGAACCTTGTTAGACTCAAGATGCCCTTTGGAAAATGCCAGCTCTTTGTTTTCACTCATTTTTTGATTATAGAAGAATAAGAGAGCAATTATTCTGTTGCAAAGAACTCAGGAGAACCATAACAAGTCAGAAAGAAATCAACAATGTTAAAAACAATGTGAAAAGTCTGGATTTAAATTGTGAATCATGTTTGCAC